GCTCCTAGTAGTACGGCCAGGAGCCCCTAGTCGCTTCTTGTTCCTAGTAGCGATGCCAGGAGCACCTAGTAGCGTCCTTTGCTCCTAGTAGTACGGCCAGGAGCCCCTAGTAGCTTCTTGTTCCTAGTAGCGATGCCAGGAGCCCACGGCCAGGAGTCCACGGCCAGGAGTCCCTAGCAGCTTCTTGTTACTAGATGTTACTAGTAGCGATGCCAGGAGCCCCTAGTAGCGTCCTTTGCTCCTAGTAGTACGGCCAGGAGCCCCTAGTAGCTTCTTGTTACTAGTAGCGATGCCAGGAGCCCCTAGTAGTGTCCTTTGCTCCTAGTAGTACGGCCAGGAGCCCTAGTAGCTTCTTGTTCCTAGTAGCGATGCCAGGAGCCCCTAGTAGCGCGCTTTGCTCCTATTAGTACGGCCAGGAGCCCCTAGTAGTCTTGTTACTAGTACCGATGCCAGGAGCCCCTAGTAGCGTCCTTGTTCCTAGTAATATGGCATGGCGGCAAGTTAGTTCAACATCTTGTGCAAACCTGCTTTGCAATTAGAGACACAGGATTGGCAACATTGTAGACAGGGGCCCCTTTCCTCGCCTCAGCAAGCGCCTTTGGGTTTTGCCGAGAAACGCCTAAGCGTGCAAAATGTTGACCACCTATTCAATAGAAAAGGAGGCTCGTAAGTGAAATCTTGTTGCAACAGTTACATGGTGATGCGCAGTCAAATCACTCCAGAACAGCTGAATCACAGACTTGGCCACATCAGGCCTCGACATCACGGGACTTGAAACTGTATGCCCAAAGACTTCGCAATATTTGTAACATGCTCCAAAGAACGTGTTCATGTTGCTCTTGAGACTTGTCCAGAATTGCTTCAAAACCGTTTTGCCATGGCCTGTCTGTATGCTTCTGAAGGACAAGCTGACCCAATGATATGATTTGATGGTCAGCGTCGTTCAGAAAAGACCTCAAACAATCAGACAATGTAGTGGCAACGCAGCAGTCATTATTTCATTATTTCCTGTCGGTGCGTAAGGTACTCACTGAGGTCTTGACGCCATAGCAGGATTACCTGGGATTGGAGTCCCTTTGCCAATGACACCACCAATTAGCGGCTGAAGTGGTTGTTAGAGTAGCAAATACATTTCAAACAATGAACAGCTGCCAGGGCACGCAAAGTCAAATTTGCGAGCAAACCAAAGCCCTGTTCACAAACCACGGGGGCTGCCAACTGCGTGCGCACAGCTTCGACATATCCTTTGGTTTCGCAAGACCTGAAGTGGCCATGCCATGCGTGCGACATGGTGGTGGATCTCACGGAATTGCCTTTCTCAGTGCATGTCAAAAATGCTTTCGCGAATCTTTTGCGAGGGCCCTAGAGTTCGTCTTGCCTGACCCTTACTATGTATCTACAGAAGTACCATGGAGTACACAAAACCATACAAAACCATTTGGTTCCCTATTTTCGAGTCATTTCCCAGCAACATTTGAGCAGGGCCTTTGACACGTGGGCAGGGGCAGCCAAACTTTAGCAAGAAATGTTGCACGGTCAGCGACTTTGCCATGGAGTATACGACATTTGATATAGATGAGCCGACAATAGCATGTCGTCAAAGGAGGAAGCTGTGGTCAAATTCGCGACAAGTAGAAGCTGAAGGGAGCAAAATGGAATTGTCACCAAGAGCTCAGCGTTGGAAACAGCTGAATATTCGAGCTATTGTCACTGACCCAACCCGGGATTTTAAATTGCACTATTATCAAATCAGCTGCTTCTTTGTGGGCAGTGCGATGCTTCAGAGATCCTAGCAGCTAAACGGATTCTTTCTTGTATTGCTCCGGGCTAGATGGAATAAACATGAATATACATGAATAACACATTTGCTTTAGGATATTGCCTGGGCCTACATTGCCTACTTGTCGGAGAAGTCTTACTGCATCTCATGACTTGTTCTTCTGCCTGCTTGCTATATGTCCCTCCTCCTCTTTCCCTTCCGTTCTTCCTTGGTGCTAGCAATGGAATCTAATATAGAAGTATAAGAACCTGAACAAGTCAACACCAAGCCCCTATCCGCACATCTTGCGGACCCTAAGGGAGTGGCATGCTTTTTTTAAGACTCTAAAACATCTGACTTGAGGCCAAGGGGGGGGGGCGAAAGCTAGCGCTCCAGAATGGGAAAGTGGAGGGCAGCGAGGTAGGAAAAAACACGGCGCTCTTTTTGGAGGCAGGGGTGAAGAGTCCTTTATATGTGGCTCTTTGCCCGGATCCTCCTGCGAGAGAAGAGAGAGAAGAGAGACGGAAAGACGAGAGACAGAGAGGAGAGAGAGAGAGAGGAGAGAGAGATGAGAGAGATGAGAAAGAGATGAGAGAGATGAGAGAGAGAGAGAGACAGTGAGACAGTGAGACAGTGAGACAGCTTGAACTTCAGCTCCAGGAAGATGACAAGTGGTACCAGGAGGTGTATGAGGCAGCAGCGCATCGAGTTGGAACCCTCCTCACTGATCCGGAGCACTACATGAATGGGCATGTGGAGCCAGTGGTTGCACCCTACAAGGTACAGCCAGAGAGACCGCGGGGGCGCTTGGATGTGCTCCGCAGGATGAGTCAAAAAGACAATGGCCCTGGTGAGCACCAATGGCAGTTGAAGGGCCAAGGACTGCTGTGCCTGTTGTGCGGCCTTCACATCAAGAGCTGCTCAACGCATGCTGAGATTGAGGCCAAGGCAGCCACGGTGTGCCCCGGCGAGAAGGTCAAGACTTTGACAAATATCATGGAGGACATGCTCAATGCTTCGTCCCTGCAACAGGATCACCAGCCAGGGCACCGTTGGTATCTGCGAGCCAGCTCCTTTGGATGCAGCCGATGTTGGATCAAGGTTGCTCGCAGATGTGGTAAGGAGACTCTCCACAGGCTGGCAAATGAACCCTGCCAATATGCCGCAGTGACAGAGCAGGACCTCAATCTGCGCATGAGAGTCCACCCCCAGCACCAGCTGATGCAGAGGGGTCAGTGGCTTGAATGTCAGAAGTGCTTCAAAGTCTCCAAGATGACAGGAGGCAAAGTGCAACCGTGGATGGCACAAGAATGCCCTGGAAGGGCGAAGCAGACAAAGCTGGCCTTTGCACCCAGCTCTAGCAGCTAGGCCTCCCCGATACAAGGAGAACGAGCCTTGTCGGGACCCGCTTTTCCCTTGACGGTGCGGGAGTCGACTGCAGCAGAGAGAAAGAACCGAGCAAAAAAAAAAAAAAACAGTGAGACAGTGAGAGTGAGAGTGAGCGAGTGCGGCCGCAAGATACGCAACGCTAACCGCATGCCAAAGAGCGACGACAGGACGGAGTCGAACTTACGAAGAGGGAGGAGGGAGGGAGGGAGGGAGAGAAGGTGGGAGGAAGTGGGAGGAAGACAAGGAGGAGGAGAGGGGAGGAGGGAGGAGGAAGGGGGGGGGTCTTCGACCTGAAAAATCAGGGGTTAGGATTTGCACCGGGTGGAAAGAAACCTTGCTATCGCAAGAGTAACTCCAGCTAGCTTCGCTAGCTTTCGTGAAAATGTCAACATATCAAGAAATGGCTGCTCCGTGACAGTCTGAGTTTGAAACAATGAGAGCTCATCTCGGACATCTTCACAAAAAGCAAAGGCCCGCAAAACGGATAGGGCAGCACGAACCAGTCTTGCTTCAGTTGATGCCAGTGAGTTTCGGACATATGGCAAAAGCTTGCTACTGGGCTTGGCCAACTCCTGAATGCGTTCCTGGCCCCTAGCAATTTCCCGCAGGAGAAGCAAAGTTTGCTCTGTAAGCTTCACGGACTGCCCAGGAATCTGAGATGTCTCCTGAAGAACCGTTCGCACTCTTTGGTACATCTCTTCGGTGAGTAGCACTTCACGATTCTCCAGGGCTGAGGGCATACATTCAGATTTTCGATTGTCATCGTCTACCACCAATGATCGGAGAGCTGCCATAGCCTCGGCTTGCAAGTGAACACTCTGAGGGAAGCTTTCCAAAACATCCATCAAAATGAAGATCGCCCCACGCAAGGGTGTCTCGTCAGAGTCCTCAACAGACTTTTCCTGGATGAGGTGTGCTGCGACTTGTTTGTTGGCATCATTGGCAGTGCACATTGCTGCAATGGATATGCAACCAGCAAGCAGCCTCGCTTCATCCTTTGTTTCCTGTGCATCTTGCAGCATCTTCACTGTTGCAATCAAAAAGCCAGCATCCCTTAAAGAGCCTCGATTGACCAAACTTGTACGACAAACCTCGGGCATGATGCGGCAAAATGAGAGCATGGCTTCACCCCGCCAGTGAGCTTTACTCAAGCTCTCGCAGATCTGATTGATGCCCTCGAAGTCGCTCAACAAATCTCGATCATCCGGAGTGGCCCGCAAACGACGTCCAATCTTTTGAATCGTCTCGGATAAGTCACTTGTTGTCTCAACCTCATCAATCAGCTCCAGCAGCTCTGGTACTTCTTCATCCTGCTGTTCCCTTTCCTCAAGCTCTTCCACGGCCATTGCTAATTGGCTTCCGTTGCAAGTGCCAATCTCTATCTAGTCTGCATTTAACCTTTGGATGTTGGTCCGTTGGTAGTTCGGACAGTTGTGCGGTTGTATCAATGTGTTGATGGTGCAAACACAAAGACTATCCTGCGTATTCTCGGTGCACCAACGCTGGCGTGGGAAGGACAAGCATAAGCTGCTACTTTCACAATTGGATTCAACAATACAACCAGATGATACCAAAACTTAGTATAAGGCCAAATAGATCAAAATAACCCAGGTCTTCTCCTTCTAGTACACTTCTACATTGCTATAAACTCTATCTTGCATTCTTCTGGTCTTGCATAATTACTTGCGCAACTCCAGCCTCGGAAGGGATTGGAGCTCCATTCATCATCTTCAAAAAACCCATGCCCTTCGTTGCCTCGTTCGTGCTCAGTCTCTGCGGCTATCGTCGAGACAGTTTGTTTCCCCTCTGTTTCTTAGATGAGCAAGAATTGCGAGGCAGGTTGGGAAGTACGTGCTATCTATTAGCATAATCGTATTCGGTGTTTTTTTCGCAATCTGAATTTCGGTGCATGGTTTATAGTCCTAGTTCAACATTTCCATTCAATTACAGTACTTTGGCATGCATTGCTTGGGCCTCGGAGCATGGGGTGAAGACAATCTTCGAGGAATCTTTAACTTCTGACCTGGCAAAGCAAGTGCTACACAGTTCTTTGCCCTTCTCACACATGTCCGTCCCTCTGATGAAAGTGAATCATTTTGTTCTCCACTATATAATCTGTCTGCTCCACCCTTCAGCTTCTGATGCCTCAAAGTGCAGGCGAAATCTTAAACAGGCCCCAATTGCCTCGCCCTGGTCCAACTACATAAAACATGAAGAACCCATTTGTATGCATGCTGCATTTGTATAACATTGTATAACTATATACGCACACATCTAGTTAAATCTTCAACTCATTGAAACACATGAACATAAACAGTGGCCAACAGTCAACAGAGACTGAGATCCCAGCTTCTGAAACCTCAAATCAACTCGGTCAGCAAGCACAAACTAGTCATGCTGGACCTGCTTCTAAAGTACGTCAATGCACCTTGTAGTTTTCAAGCAACTGCTGAAGTTCTCGTTTTGCCTTGTCAACGCCACCTGCCATACATGAAGCCACGACAAGCCACGAATATCCACTCAGCCACCACGCAATACTAAGCACGGATGGATGTTGAAATTGAAGTTGAAACTTTGATTCATAACCCAGCAAGGCCAACCTGAATGCATTGTGGTGAAGTAGACGCCTCGGTCACCTCAATCTCAAACGTTGCTGCATGGCTAGTAGATTGTCACTTCTCTGCGGGCACTTTTCAATGTTCATAACATACATCGACCACCCTAACAACCCCAGTCCAGCCCAGTCCACAGGCCTGCAGCAATGGCCACACCCTTGGCGATCTTTGCACGCTTCGCATCAGCGCTTTGCTTGTTCGGTTTGTTCTGTGGCCTGGACTTTCATGGACATCCGATTGGTTGCGCGGATGCGGTGACGTGCGCCCTGGTGCCTCTTCTTCCCAGCTGGTGTGGCCTTGTGAATTCAGCTGATTTCAACACGTTGTTAGGAAAGCCAAGGTACTAGTACCACATAACCCCCACCTCTGGATCAGCCTTTTCCTCCTTCGAGGTTTCCTCACTTGTCCTGGCTTCCGCGCCTCGAATCTGACGGGTGATTCGCCGCCCAACTCGCAGATTCGCGACGGATCGGTCAAGAACTGGGTGTCGGGAAAGAGAACCAACTATAGCAAAGATCCCAGGCAGCAACGCGTATGTCAACCTGTTCGGTGTGAATACATCATGCCCAATGGCATTCTCAGGCAAAATGGGCAAAGGGGCACACAAAAATGGCGGTCGCCACACGAAGACTACAGTAAGCTTGAATCACTTGAGCCCAAAGCAAGGGAGCCCTTCTGACTTTGGAGCAATTGTAGCCCTTGGATTTCAATTATAAAAATATATATATTATATTATAGTATTGTTTGCTATTGAATCCATTGCGCAAACCCTTCTGCCTTCAGGGACCATTGATGCTGCAAGCCTTAACGAGTTGTCTATGTGCATCTATGTTCTTCTTATGCATCAGTCGTGCAAGTTACAGTATATTATTTGGATTTACTTGGCAGCACACGTCCGAGGTTCGAGGTGCACTATCTGACTGTCTGAGGTTTCAAACAAAGCCTACTACGCTGCAAATGTTGATTCAGGATGCCCTCCATCCGAAGCTAGTGCAACCTTTGTAGCCATCGCTTTGATTCGGGACCTGTTTCCTTTTCTTCCTAATCTCTGCATGATGATCTGTGGAGCATCGCAAGGCTCCGTGCGCCTTGAAAAGAATTTAAAACTGCAAACCTGAGACATGTTACATGTGGTGGCCAATCAATATCTACCAAATGAGCACCGGTAACGGTTTGTCGTCTTTCCTGTCTATATAGTCCAGAAGCCCATGGAAATCACCTTCAAAGGCTCTGAGCCAACCTTGCCTGCTTCAGACGGTGGGTCCGGCATGGCTTATCACGCGGGGCAAACACGGCAAGAATTCGTCAACATCTGTAGCGTCCTTGTTCCTAATGGAAATGCCCTTTGTTCCTAGTAGCTTCTTGTTACTAGTAGTAAGGCCAGGAGCCCCTAGTAATTAGCGTCCTTGCTCCAAAATCATCTTAGAATTGCTCTCGTGAGCGCCGGTACAGAAGGTGCCAACAACTTTCAAAACGGCAAGTCCTGCTGAAAAACCAAGGTCAAGCGGATTTGCTTCTGCAAAGTCCGTTCTGCTATCCCGGGATGATGTTGTGCAAACTTTGAGGCTCAGGCAGCTCCGATTCACAACAGCATATCTCAATGAGTTTCGCGGTGAGATGCTGCCGTTTCTACAGTACTGATACAAATTCCTGGCCCTTGACACTCCCAACTTGTTCTACAGAATTCTAATGAATTCTACAGTATGTGCACAAGCAAACTGTCAGAAACTTCCACCCGCCAAAGTGCGGCCACACAAAAAGTGCATTTTAGCGTCGTGGACTGCAACTCCTATATAGAACCCATCTCTCGAGGGTCACTTGAGTCACTTCAGTCCAAAAATGGAATAACTCTCACTCTCCTCATCTCCTCGAAAACTACTCTGCAAGTTCTACTGTCCATGCAGTTGAATGTATTTGTCGGAATCAAGGAATCTTACCAAAGAATTGCAAACTGTGTGCCTATGAGTTCCTATGAGTCTATTCTTTGTCGTCTTCAACAATGCTTCACTGGTGAGAAGCTCTGCGGCACACAGGCTGTGCAGTCCTGCAGCAGTCTCCGTCAGATTCCTTTTGCATCCATCACTTCTCCACACATCTCTGCACCAATTCCGAAGCGATTAGCTCACTAGCAAGCAGCATCTGATCCGCCATCACATGTACAGGAACAGTCTTTTTCTGCGGCCATGGTCTAAACTGAAACCTAGCAGATCTTTTTGAACTGCAAATTGTCCACATTGTTTGAAATGTCCTCCGAGGGCCCTTTGACCTGCTGGGATCTTTGTCCACAGCACAATTCTTTCATAATCAAAGATAGCACTCCTGAGGTCTCACGAAATTTTGTCCAAAGGGGCAAGTCTTGCTCAGCTCTGAAAGGGTGAAGCATAGGTGCACTAATCCTGCCCATGGTCCTGTCTTTTGATGTCCTTTTCGCTTCACCTTGTCATCTCCACATTCAAAACCGTTGAATTCTGAAGCCCTGCTTCTGCCAGAGTCAGATATTTGTCTTGAAATGCCTGCTTTGGGTGAATCGTCACCAAACAATAGGGGCTTCCATTTCGAATCTCCGGTTCCGACTGCGTTGCCTCCGCCTCGACAGCATCGTAGATCTTGGAGATGCGATCGGAGGAGCGGAAGTGGCAACGAACGCGACGGCCTGACGGCAAACGCAGCAACAGCTCGACCGAAGCGTCCATCGCGAGCTGGGAGACCGTCGGCTCGACGGTCGCGTCGACCCCGTCGTTCGAGTGCGGCGAGCTGCCCGAGCCGCCCTGCGGTTCGAGTGGGGCGACCGGGGAAGGATTTGCCACGGTCTCTGGATGGCGACGATCTTGAGCAAGTGGTTGACGAGGTGGATCATGATGCAGGGCCTCAAGGTGCACTTTCTGCACTTGCGTGTCGGTGACGTTGGCCGAGGCTGTGGACGTAGCTGGCTTCATGTCCTCAGAGTCGGGGCGCCCAACATCCATGGCTGCTTCATAGAGGTCAGCATAGGCCACACTACCATGAGGTCTCCAAATGAGGCTCCTGCAATGCCAACAACATGCAAAGACGGTGACATGGAGACAGCCGCACGTCAGAGCTACCAAGGGCCGGATCGTGCCACCAAGGCCGGTGGAGTGGGAAGGGATTGCAAAAAACAGCTCTGCACACGCGGAAGCACAGCCGAGACAACAACAAATGGTCAGAGGTGTCAAGTAGAGCAAGCCATCCTTCACTGGATACCTGACCCATTCAGGCAGAGTAAGTACCCAATGTCCAAGTTGTAGCATCACTGGAGTCATGAATGGCTCCAGCAATGGGTCAGATTGCAACAGCAAAGATCCACACAGCGCCGTAGCACCGCTGATCACAGCCAGGATGGGCAACCACAGTAGCAAAGCCAAGAGGGTCACAGCATAAAAACCAATGACACCCAGGCGGATGCGTCCCAAATAGATCTTGGCCTCTGACACATGCGGTCCATGTACCCGTGGAACACTGATGCCGGATGGGACGCCGGCAGACCCCTCGCCTGTGAGATGCTCAAGTCCCAGCATTGAAACAGTGATGATGCTTGAGCCAAAAGCCCGGCCATTGAAGTGGGGTCATGATATGATGCTTGCGATTCCTGAATCACTGAACAACAATGAAATAACACATACACATAGAGCGTGATTTTTTGACTGGAAGAATAAACCATGCCAAGTCGTTGAATAATCCCATTTCGACTTGCCTATGCTTGAAAGAAATTTCCAGAGTAGCAAGTGACACATGAGTGAACAACTAGGCCCGAGCAGAACCGTAGAC